GAACAATTTTACCAGCTTTTGCTCTTGCTTTGTTAGCTTTCCTAACAAGTTCCTCAACCATAAAGCTTGACATGTTGCTGCCGTTGATGCCATGAATTCAGCATCACACGATGACAAGGCCACAGTTTTTTGTTTTTGAGAGTTTCATGATAGAAGACTGTCATTGATATATGTTGATATATATATATTGTATATATTTATATATATATATCCTACCTAATATATCTCTTGTATAAATATAATATTGTACCCTAATTGTGAATTAATGAAAATAAAGTTTATTCCATTAATCGTAACATGGTATCAAAGCCATGTTTTTTCCCGACCAAATCGAAACAACCCACGCATTCCAGATAGCATATTTCCGACCACTTCCGACTGTCACCGCCACCACCATCGTCTTCGCCGCCATGAGACCAGCCGGACTCCGGAACAGTTCGGCGAACGGTGGCGCGTGAGCCTCACACGCGCCTGACGAGTTTTCCGGCCGAACGCCTCGCCGGCGCGTGGAGGCGCATTGCGGCGGCCGTTGGCGGCGATCTTTGCACCATCATATTCAGAATTTGATTTCCTCTGCGATGGTATCTTCACTTCTTCCATTTGAGCAGTGTTTGTATCCGGTTGACTTTTAGTGTTTCGGGTTCGATTCGATTTTCTTGTGTTTCTGTCATTTCGGCTTTCGGCTTGAGGTTTGAGATATTGTCTTCTCTTGAATTTCTATGGAAAAGATGGATGTACATATTCGGATCAATGTTGTTCTGTCCAGAAATAATTACAGTTTGTGGGCACAATCGATAAAAAATTTTTTGATAGGTCGGAAATTGTGGCGAATTGTTACGGGAGATATAGTTGCTCCCATTGCTCCGGATTCTATAGGAGAAGTTACGCCTACCACCACAGTTGTTGAATCCTATATTGAAAAATTGGAGGATTAGGATAGTAAGAACCATCAAATTCTCACTTGGTTGCGCAATACTTCCACTCCGGCGATCCATGTTCAGCTTGCCCAATTTGACTCTGCCAAGGCAGCGTGGGATTTCTTGGCAGTCCGCTTCCGTGCTACTGGTTTGGCACACTATTATCAGTTATGGAGCACTCTCCATGATCTAAAACAGGAACCAGGACAATCTATCAACGACTTCCTTGCCCAAGTGCAACCCCTTTGGCATCGATTGGATCAAGCAAAGATCAGTCCTGATCAGCCTCATTCAGGTCTTGATGGCTTTGCATCCAGAGTATGAGGAAGTTCGTGCCTCTTTGTTACATCGGCATCCACTTCCTACCTTGGATGCAGCTATTCAGGAGATTCTGTTTGAGGAAACTCGTCTCCACCTAGCTAAGGCTCTTCAGCTTGATTCTGCTCTTGCGGTCACCGCCCGAACTCCTACTCAGAGTCGTTCTCATCACTGCAAAAGATGTCAGTCTTCTGATCATGACTTCGGTCATTGCCCAAAGGTGGAGTGTCACTACTATCATTTTTTAGGCCATACCATACAGTATTGCCCCACTAGGCCGTCTCGCTCTGGCAGTAGTAACTACAAGCCTCGGCATTCTCGTGGACCTCAGTCTGGTACCTCATTTGTCACAGCCTCTGTCACGCCTGCGGCTGCGCCTGCGCCTCCTACAATTCAAGACCTGGAAGCTCTTCTTAAACAGGTTCTATCTTCCAATACCGCCATGTCTACCACATCAGGTAACTCCCCTTAGTATTTTGATTCTACTTGCAGTAATCATATGACCTTTGATATACGCCTTATGACCTCCACATCCACCGCACCATCCTTACCTCATATCCTTACTGCAAATAGTACCCATATGCGCATCACCCATACCGGACATACATCCACCTCATCCTTATCCCTCCCCGACACATACTGTATCCCTCAATTAACCTTAAATTTGATTTCCGTTGGTCAATTAGTTGATCAAGGTCTCACAGTGATTTTTTCTTCTACTGGTGTGCAGGTTCAGGACGCGCAAACCGGGCGGACTCTTGGGAAAGGCCGGAAGACGGGCCGCTTATTTGAACTTACGTCACTCCAGGTCCCTCGTCCCTCTATCTCGGCTGCCACCACCTCTACACTATCCTGCCTTCAGTGGCATCATCGTCTCAGTCATGCGTCCTCCAATAAAGTCAGGTCTTTGATTAGTCAAGGTAGTTTGGGTTCTGTCAAGTTTGAGTCTTTTCATTGTGTGGATTGTTCATTGGGAAAACAACCTGCCTTGTCATTTCCTCATAGTACTTCTATTGCGGATACACCGTTTTCCTTAGTTCACTCGGATATTTGGGGACCTTCGCCCACTGTGTCTATGAATGGTTCTCATTATTTTGTGATTTTTATTGATGACTATTCTCGCTTTACATGGATTTACCTTCTGCGGCATCGTTCTGAACTTCCATCTATTTATAAGACCTTTGCTAAAATGATACATACCCAATTTTCCTCTACCATAAAAACTCTCCGCACAGATAATGCTCTTGAGTATACTGATTCATCATTTCTTCGTTTCTTATCTGATCAAGGTACTGTTGTCCAACGCTCCTGCCCATACACCTCTCCACAAAATAGTCGCGCCGAACGTAAACACCGACATATCCTCGATACAGTCTGCACCCTTCTCTTATCTGCCTCTTGTCCGGATCGTTTTTGGGGGGAAGCCGCACTCACCGCTGTCCATATTATAAATCGTGTCCCTTCCTCTGTCCTAGGTAATGTTAGTCCTTTTGAAAGACTATTTAATCATACCCCTGATTATAGTCTTCTCTGCCCTTTCGGTTGTGCCAGTTTTGTCCTCCTCCCTCCTCATGAGCGCACTAAGTTAGAACCTCGCGCGCGTCTGTGTTGCTTCTTGGGATACGGGTTAGAGCATAAGGGTTATCTTTGTTGGGATCCCATTTCCAATAGGCTACGTATTTTTTGTCATGTCATATTTTGGGAGGATACCAAATTCTCTTCCTTGTCCCACTTTCAAGTCCCCTTTGATAGTTCGTCTCCGTTCTTTGCTTTGTCCTCTCCACCTCTATTCCCCTCCGGTGACACGGCTCCGTCTCCCGCTCCTGACGCTGTCCTGGTTGCGCCTCCTGAACCGACGCTGATCCCCGAGCCTACTTCTACTCTCGACTCCAATACATCACCATCACCAGAGCCCAACACGATTTTGATCTCAGCCCCTGATCCTGGCCCTCGTCGTTCCACTCGGTTTAGTCACCTTTCTACTTACTTACTTGATTATCACTGCTTCTCTGCCATCTTGTCCCATCATGAGCCCAGGTCCTTTCGTGAGGCGTATGCAGATCCATTATGGCGGCAGGGTATGTCTGAGGAGTTGCAGGCTTTGGAGAAAACCCATACGTGGGATATGGTTGATCTTCCCTCTGGCAAGAAACCTATTGGCTGCAAGTGGGTATTCAGAATCAAAACTCACTCTGATGGATCCATCGAGCGCTACAAGGCGCGTTTGGTAGCCAAAGGCTACACCCAACAGTATGGTATCGACTATGAGGAGACATTTGCCCCGGTTGCTCGTCTCACCTCTGTCCGCTGTCTTATCGCCATTGCTGCCGCTCGTCGGTGGCCCCTGCATCAGCTTGATGTCAAGAATGCGTTCTTGCATGGTGATTTATCCGAGGACATCTACATGTCTCCTCCTCCTGGTTTTCCTACCTCTTCCAAGGTATGCAAACTTCGCCGTGCCCTATATGGTTTGAAACAGGCACCTCGAGCTTGGTTTTCGAAATTTAGCTCTGTTCTACTCCAGCTTGGCTTTACTTCTAGCGATCATGATTCGGTTCTCTTCCTTCGACGTGGGTTAGCTGGAATTACTATTTTATTGCTTTATATGGATGACATGATCATTACGGGAGATGATGCATCAGGTATCTCTGAGTTGCAGGCTCATCTACACCGCTACTTTGAGATGAAGAGTTTAGGGCCTCTTCGGTACTTCCTAGGACTTGAGATCTCCGACACCTCCGACGGATATTATCTCTCTCAAGCCAATTATGCCTCCGACCTCCTATCTAGTGCCGGTCTCACTGACTCCAAGACTGCTCCTACACCTCTTGATTCTAATTGTCCTCTTACTCCGATGGACGGCGTTCCCCTTGGTGATCCTACTTTGTATCGTCAGCTGGTGGGAAGTCTGATCTACCTGACTGTCACTCGACCGGATATTGCTTATGCCGTCCATATCGTCAGTCAGTTTATGTCTGCTCCTCGTAAGACTCATCATTCTGCTGTCCTACGGATTCTCCGGTACGTCAAAGGTACTCTTCTTTATGGGCTTCATTATTCCGCTCGTTTTTCCTTAGTTTTGACCGGGTATTCTGACGCTGATTGGGCAGGAGATCCCTCTGATCGCCGCTTGACCACCAGGTTTTGCTTCTTCCTTGGCGACTCGCTCATTTCGTGGCGCTGCAAAAAACAGACGGTTGTCTCCCGGTCCGGCGCAGAGTCCGAATATAGAGCCCTTGCCGATACCGCTGTCGAGCTTCTATGGCTTCGCTGGCTGCTGGCTGATCTCGGAGTGCCTCAGCCCTCTGCCACTATTATCCATTGCGACAGTCAGAGCGCCATGAAGATTTCAACGAATGATGTATTCCACGAGCGTACGAAGCACATTGATATCGACTGTCACCTTGTAAGTCATCACGTTGCTCGTGGAAGCATCTCCTTGTCTCCCATTTCCTCTGTTGATCAGACGGCCGACGGATTCACCAAACCTCACCTTCCAGGCCGTTTTCAGTCATTTTTTAGCAAACTCAAGTTGGGTTCCACCGTTCCACCTTGAGTTTGAGGGGGATGTTGATATATATATTGTATATATTTATATATATCCTACCTAATATATCTCTTGTATAAATATAATATTGTACCCTAATTGTGAATTAACGAAAATAAAGTTTATTCCATTAATCGTAACAATATAAAATGTCATTCCTCCGGTGCTCTTTCTATCCATCGCATCCCCAGAAAAATCATTGTCTATGTATCCGGTGATTATTTCCTCAGCTCCACCTCTTCCATACACAAGTCCAAAGTGATAGTCACTTTTAAATTTCTTAGCACTTGTTTTATTGCGTTGTAATGCATGATTGTGGGCCTTTCTATGAATTGGCTTAGCATACCCACTGAAAACGATAAATCGGGACGAGTGTGCAGTAAGTATCTCAAGCAACCAATAATCTGTCGATATTCTGTCTCATCGACTGGTTCTCCCTCCGGATCTTTGTGAAGTTGTATCTTTTGTTCCATCGGTATTCTTGTAGCATTGCATTCCCCCATACCAAATTGATCCAACACCTTCTTCATATATGAGCTTTGCTTGAGGATAATCCAATCTTGTTCTTGAGCTACCTCAATCCCAAGATAAAACGTGAGCAATCCAAGATCACTCATCTCGAATTCGGACATCATTTGCTTCTTGAACAAATCGATCTCCTTGAGGCTTTCTCCGGCGACAATTAGATCGTCAACATAAACACCAACAATTAGGACGGACTGTCCTTCTCACGTGTAAACAGCCTGCTCTTGCGCACATTTGGTGAATCCAAGTTGCTTTAAAATTTTATCTAAACGCATGTTCCAAACTCGCGGAGCTTGACGAAGGCCATACAATGCCTTGTTCAACCTGTACACAAGATGTTCTTTATTTTTAACAATAAATCCATCAGGTTGAGTTATGTATACCTCTTCCTTGAGTTCGCCGTTCAAGAAAGCCGACTTCACATCAAGATGGTGTACCTGTCTGCCATCCACAGTTAGCTGAAACAGCAAGGATGATTCGAATTGTGTCCAGTCTTGCAACAGACGCAAAAACTTCTTCATAATCAACACCATGTTGTTGAACATACCCTTTTGCAACGAGTCTCACCTTGTGTTTAATCTACCCTACCATCAGAATTCCTTTTTATTTTGTATACCCATTTTACTTCAATTGGGTTGTGTCCCAATGGCAAGGGCGCAAGTGTCCGAGTTCTATTTTTTTCAATCGCTTTAGTTTCTTTCGCCATTGCTTCTTCCAAAATATGCTGCCCAGCTGCTTCTTGATAAACACCCAAACACCTTTAGATGAGAAAGATTTGGCTTCCTCCCGGAACAAAGCTTGAAATGGTGTTCCCTCTTCTAGTGTTTTTTTCGGAAGTTGATTCAAGATGTAGACCGCATGTCTCACTGCCTCTCCGCAAAACTCTCTGGGTACTTTCATGCTTTTGAGTAGGGATCTCGCCATTTCCATCACCGTCCGGTTCTTGCGTTCTACAACGCCATTTTGTTGTGGAGTATAGAGTGCAGTTAAGTGTCTTTGGATTCCTGCATCCTCACAAAATTTGGTGAATTCATTAGACAAGAACTCCCCACCCCAATCGGTTCTCAACGTCTTTACTCGTTGTCCAGTCATGTTCTCCACTTGTTGCTTGAATTTTCTGAACGCGCCATATGCTTGATTCTTTGATTTAAGCACAAAAATCCACGTCCACTGTGAATAATCATCGACAATCAGCATGAAATAACTATTTCCAGCAATGGTTGACGGTGTAATTGGGCCACATAAATCAGCATATAACAACTCAAGAGGCTACATCGCTCGATAGTTCGCTTGTTGTGGAACGGGTTGTCGTGTTTGCTTCGCAACTAGACACCCTTGGCACAACTTGTCGGGATTGGAGATAAGTGGAACTCCAATTGCCATCTTCTTTTCAGCCAACTTCTTTAAGGAGTCAAAATTAACATGTCTGAGTCGGGCATGCCACAAACACGCCTCGTTTGTGATATTAGCAAGCAAACAAACCGGAGCACATGACACTATTAAGGCATTGTATAACCGATTGGGAAGTCTCTTGATTTTAATGAGCAAGGTCCCAATCGAGTCATACACCTTCAAATAATCTCCATGTATAATGATCTTGCTACCACCTTCGGCTAATTGGCCGCAACTTATAATATTATTGCGCAAAGCTGGAATGAAATATACCTCAGTGAGAAGTGGGTGCTCGCCTCCCTTGAATTGGAAAAGTATAAATCATTTCCCTTTGATTTGCACCGTGGATCCATCACCAAATCTCACAAGTCCCTTGATCGATTCATCAAGATCATCGAAGTGTTTTCGCTCTCTGGTCATATGATTACTTGAGCCATTGTCAAAATACCATATGTTAGCCTCGGAATTAGCTTCATCTTCATGCTCAACTTGAGAAATTTTCTAATGCATAGTATCCCATCTTATTGCAATTAAAACATTTGATGTGACCCTTGTCTCGGCCACCACTTTTTGCCCCATAATTTCCATGCTCTTCTCTACCACGGCCTCTTCAGCGACTGCGTCCGCCCCAACCTCGGTTGCTATTCCAAGTGCGAGGGTTTTTTCCTTTGTAAGGTTGTGATGGTGCGCCATCCTTTTTTCCTTTTACTCAATTTGAGTGAATAAAAGTTGTCCACTCCCATTGCCACTAGATGGTGCACGTATTCGAGTGCGCTCCTTGAATCTTTTGAGACGCCCCACTGCTTCCTCAAACGGCATGGTATCGAGATCACAAAATTGCTCAATGCTGGAAATTACTTGATAGAAGCTTTCCGGCACCATATCAAATAATTTCTTCACCATTTCTACATCGTCTAGCGTTGCTCCCAAGCTGGAATACTGGGCAGACATTCCGCTCAACCGTCCGGCATACTTATCCAACGTTTCTCCTTCTTTCATTCGCATCGCATCAAAATTACTCTTGAGCGTCTGCAAGCGTGCTTTCTTAACGCGGGCTGCCCCAAAAAATCTGATTGCTAGGCAATCCCACACTTCCTTTGCGGTTTTTTTTTTCTGCGCAACCTGCAAAAGAAGGTCCTCCGGAAGTGCTTGTAATAGATACGCTTTTGCTGCCTTGTCTTTCTTTTCATCCTCTATGTCCTTCTTCTGGTTTTATAGCCTCCCAAACACCTTAAGCCTCCATGAGAGCCTCTACCTTGATTGCCCAGGTGGTGTAATTCGTCATCGTTAACTGCGGGTAGAAAAATCAGAGAGTGGTAGAAAAATTTTGTAAAGACACTAGGCTGTGGAAATGAGAAATCGTATATCTATTCTTTCTCTTTTGCAATATAACAAGGTTACACCATCATATCATATATATATATATATAAAGCAGCTCAAGGTGGACCCCACTTTTTTGTAAAATTTCCTAATCCTGCAATCTCAAAATTTTGAGAGTTTTTGAGTTTTTTTTAATTTCTTTTTTTTCTTTTACAGTTTTTTACACAATAGTGGACATAGAAAGTATATTCTTAAGTGGATTAGTTTTTCACGGAAGTTTTTATAGTGAACTATGAAACTTTATTTCTTTTATTGGAGAAGATTGACATCCGAAGAAGAAATTTCTTCAGACGAGTTTTACAGGCAAGTTTTACAGGGTGTTCTCTTTTTATTTCTTCAGGCAAGTTTTACAGGGTGTTCTCCTTTTATTTCTTCAGGCAAATTTTACAGCGTGTTCTTTTTTTTTTTTTTTTTTTCTTCAGGCAAGGCAAAGGGTGTTGTTCTTCAGGCAACAGAAATTTTATTTCTTTTATTAGAGAAGATTGCCATCCGGAGAAGAAAATTTCTTCAGGCAAGTTTTACAAAGTGTTTTTTTTTTTTCTTCAGACAAGTTTTACAGGTGTTCTCCTTTTATTTCTTCAGGCAAGTTTTAGAGCGTGTTCTCCTTTTATTTCTTCAGGCAAGTTTTACAGTGTGTTCTCCTTTTATTTCTTCAGGCAAGCGTGTTCTTTCTTTTTTTTTCTTCAGGCAAGGCAAGGGTGTTGTTCTTCAGGCAACAAAAACTTTATTTCTTTTATTGGAGAAGATTGCTATCCGGAGAAGAAAATTTTTTCACGCAAGTTTTACAAGGTATTCTTCTTTTTTTTTTTTCTTCAGGCAAATTTTACATGGTGTTCTCCTTTATTTCTTCAGGCAAGTTTTACAAAAATTCTTCAGGCAAGTTTTACATGATGTTCTCATTTTATTTCTTCAGGCAAGTTTTACATGGTGTTCTTTTTTTTTTTTTCTTCAGCAAGGGTGTTGTTCTTCGAAACTTTTACTTCTTCTTCAAGTTGTTATATTTTCATATTATTTGATTCATATTCATTTTTATTAATTAGATTTTTTAGAATTTTTATATAATTTTCGAGTCATTTTTTTTTATGGTAGAAGACAAATTTTCTACTAGCCGCAGTAAGTTTTTTAATTTACATTTTTTTTTAATTCCTAAGACAGTATTTTTTTTACAATCCACGGAAGGAATTTTAAAAAATATTTTATCTATATTTAATATTTAATAAATTTTTATGGATGAGTTATCCAATTTTTCTAACAAATATTTATCTTCTTTCTACAATATAATCAATTTTAATTTTAATTTTATTTTGAATAGATGAATATATATAGAAAAAAAAATCCCCATAGGATTTTTTAAAAATTTTTTTTATATATTTAATATTTAATAATAATTCCTAATCCAGTATTTTTTACAATCCAAAGTAGAAATTTTTTTATGTATATTTAATATTAATAAATTTTCATAAATGAGTTATCCAATTTTGTAAAAAATATTTATCTTCTTCCTACAATATATATTATTATTATAATTTTATTTTAAATAGATGAATAACAATCAACAATTTGTAGAAAGTAACAAATATTTATCTTCTTCCTACAATATATATATATATTATTTTAATTAATTTTAATTTTATTTTGAAAAGATGGATAAAATCAATTTTTAGGAAAAATAATTCCTAACCCAGTATTTTTTACAATCCACCGTAGGAATTTTTTTAAAGACGAACATGTGGTTCATATCGACAATCACACCATGAGAGGCAAAATGGTATGAATTATAATTTTTTTTTTCTATTTAATGAAATTTCAAGATTTATTGATATTTGATAAAAAAAACAAACTTTACTTAAATTTTATGATTTCTATTATTCCTGAGATGTATATTATTTTTAATTTATTTTACTTTTACTTATATTTAGATAATATTAAATAATTAATATTATATTGATTTCATAAATTACAATTAAAATATGAATACTTAAAATATACAAAAATTAAAATATAAATAAATAAATATATATATAATTATATTACAATATACCTAACGTATTGATGTATTAATTTGTATTAATTTGATATATCACATATATATATATACTCAAATTGATGTATTAATTTGTATATATATTAATTTGTATTAATTTGATATATCACATATATATACTCGATGTATTAATTTGTATATATATTTCAGTAATATATTTAAATTTTATAAATGAAGTCCTTTCATGAGTTTTTTAAAATATGATTTTAAGTGGATTTTTAATTGAGTGTTAGTAGAAAAAAATAATTTTTAAATGTGTTTGCAAATGTGCTGAGTAATCACTTTTTTTTTTTTTTTTTTGTAAATTTTCTTTTATTTTTCAAATAATTTTTTTTATTTTTTTTCATATTTTTTTCTCAATTTTTTAAGATTATACTGATACTCTTTTTTTTATTTTGGTGTGTTTTTTTATTTTGTATTTATTTTGTTTTCATAGTGATTTGCTTTTTATTAGTTGTAGCATGCAGGGTAAAAAGGAAGAAACGGGAAGAAGGAAAAAAAAAAAAAAAAAGATAAATGCTGGTAGTTACTATAGAGTTCGATGATTTTTTTTTATTTGTAATATATAAAAATTATTTTATTATGCATAGAAATATTTAAATTTAATTCAAATTTTTATTCGCAATTGATTATAATTTATATTAAGTTATATATTATTTTTATTATATTTTTTCATTGGAGAATTACAATTTTTGTTATTAAAGTATTGTAATTAAG